CGCAGTGCCTCGATATGAAACCAGACAACTTTTGTGTTTTTAATCTCCAAATACGAAAAAAAATCAATTAAGCTAATAAATAGGCTAACGTTAAGAACGTATTATATCGTTTGTTTTATATTAATTATTATTTAAGATCATAATAATAAACAAGTCGCATTTCGATGTACTCCATGCTATAACCTTTATATAAAAATAGCAATTTTTACGAGATTACAAATTGTATCGCATTGTTTGGTTCCATTGCCTCGCTTTCAAAAATTAGAACAGGCGCTCCAAAATCGTAAAACGAAGTTAAAAATTTTATATTGGCCGAGTTCCCCCACTGTTAAGAATATCCTCGCAGCATTATCTGCAGTTAACCTTCCTACGATTTTCAATGTATTTTGCAATGTAATTTACAATCCTCCAGGTGAAGAATTTTATTAATCAAGAGTAGGGGAGGTGTGAAAATCCCCATTGGGGCCACATATAACACTATAAATACAATGGGAATTCCCTTAAAATGAAGGTAAAATAAATGTTTTTCTAAGGAATTCCGACGGATTTACTTTTTACAACATAAAATCAATAGAACATTTCTAATATAAATTTTCAAAATGACACCAGAGAGCTAATGAAATAAAATCAACCAGACGGTCTTTGTCAATTTCACCAACTTGTTTATTTCAAACAGCGCACTTTTCGCACATGCGCAGTTGTTTGAAGCCTGTGCTTGAAAACCCTAGTTTTACATTTCCCGCCAACCGCGCCACCTATAGTTATCTTGGAGAGTTCTTTCCTACATGGAGTCCTGAATGCAACCCGGTTGTAAACACACCTGCAGGTAAGCACATGACTTCGTTAAGTTTTTTTCCCCGACGAATTGTGGTTCAATATGGTACGCTTGAAATTGCTTATTATTTAAAGGATAATTTAAGGAGTAGTTTATTAGCATTGTTCTTAATACTGGCCTACAAATACGCACTTAACTGCTATAAAATGAAGACATTTCAAAACTTGGATGCGAGGCCAATACGCAACAGTGTCAACCTTTGGAATTGGGGCAGCAACAAATGATGGTGGCTTAGTTGGAGAGCTTTATCATGGCGCTGTGAAGGACGTTGAAATTATTTTTCGTTCCTAATTTTGTTTGTATATTTATCCTATATTCATATAAATGTTTGCTGGATTAATTGGATTGCCTAATAATTTTAGTGTAATTAAGTTTTTTTAGGCTGACTTAAAACTTTTTATTGAGAATAAAATACTGAAACTTAACTACATTAATTGTAGCCTGCACTGATTTTGTGCACTGGGCCCAGTTCTCACGTGTGACAGCTAACCTTGTTATAAAACATCTGCATTGTGCTCATGTATGAAAACAGTAGTATTTTGCCTTTTATAAAGTGTTGATCGTTTTATACAGATTAAAGAAATAATAGAAATGGACACATTTAAGAGTACATGTAAATTCTAGAGTACAATCCAGCAACACCACAATACAGGTGAATGTATTTTCAAAACTTTGTTTGTTTGTTTTTTTCTCACAGATGATCTCACTTTGAGCAATGGCCAGCAGTGGGCATGACAAGACAAGGCAGTATGTGATGAGTGTTGACTTTGGCACCACCATAGTCAGGTGCCATATCTATGACCAGCAGATGTCTGTCAAGGGAGTCAGCAGCAAGAAGGTAAGCCACGCCCCCCAGCTCCAGTTCTCCTACCCCTTCCCTTAAGCCCTCCTTAGCCGCATTCCTGCCTTCTACTACGGCCCTACTCCCTCTCTCTCTCCCTCTCTCTCTCCCTCTCTCCCTCTCTCNAAGGGGGCAACAGCAAAAAAGGAAACCCCCCCCCCCCCCCCCCCCCAGCTCCAGTCCTCCTACCCCTTCCCATAAGCCCTCCTTAGCCGCATTCCTGCCTCCTACTATGGCCCTACTCCCTCTCTCTCTCCCTCTCTCTCTGCAAGTTCCCTCTTCCCTGCCCCCCCCCCCCACTCCAGCCCTACCTCCTCTCTTTAGCTTTCCCTAGCTGCACTCTAGCCTCCCTGCCCCCCCCCCACTCCAGCCCTACCTCCTCTCTTTAGCTTTCCCTAGCTGCACTCTAGCCTCCCTGCCCCACCCCCCCACTCCAGCCCTACCTCCTCTCTTTAGCTTTCTCTAGCTGCGCTCTAGCCTCCCTGCCCCCCCCCCCTCCCCCAAATACAGCAGTCTGCACATATTGTGTGTATAAGCAGTCTCAATAGTTCCCTGCCTGGCAATTACGTGGGCGGATCCAGAAATGTTTTCTGACAGTCTTCCAAATTATCTTTGTTGACCTTCTTCCAACAGAAAAATTAAGATACCCGTCAATGCAAAATTGAAAATCTGACCCCTGAATTATGCCTACTGTCCCTTAATTAAGATGGTCTGAGATTGTTTTCCTCCTCCATATTGATTTTCTAACTTTAAAGAAAATCTGATTTCTACTGTAGGTGGAGCTGTTGCGTCCCAAGCCAGGCTGGTCTGAGATGGACCCAGATATGCTGTGGACCCAGTTTGTAGCTGTGGGAAAGGATGCCATGAGAGGTAAGTTTAGCAGGTAGAATATAAGGAGTTATTTTTCTGTCAATTTACATTTCATTGCACAATAAAAAAAAATTCACCATAACTTCTATGGCACTTTTGTTAAGCTTTCTAAGATGACATATACGTACCTGATGCATAGATTTTCACCCTCATTGTTGATAAGTTGGCCCTACCTCATAGAAATTCTCGCATGTTTTCTAATTGCGTATGACATCAAGCAGTGCCTTCATCCTCATCTTAAAAAAGTTAAAGTACAGTTCATTTCTTATGTACAGAACTCCACATGCATCTCAGTGCAGTTAACATTAAACACCTGGTCATTTTTGACCCTGGTATACACTGGGTGTTGGCAGTCTCACCTCTAAGGCTACTAGTATCTTGAATATGATTTCTATAGGTTCTGATACTCAGGATGGGGTTCTCTGTTCCAGCTGCTGGTATCACAGATATGATTTCTATAGGTTCTGATACTCAGGGTGGGGTTCTCTGTTCCAGCTGCTGGAATCACAGCCCAGGATGTGGCAGGATTGGGGATAGCGACACAGAGAGGGACCTTCATGACCTGGGACAGGTTTGTATGCATGCCAGTACGTGTGTGTGAACGTGTCTGCATGTGTGTGTGTGTGTGTGTGTGTGTGTGTGTGTGTGTGCACCTGAGGGCATGTATATAAGTGCATGTTTGTGTTTGAGCATGCATATGTGTACCTAATGTGTATTTTTATGTGTGTGTTTGTCTGGTAATATACATTTTTGTACATCTTTGCTTTGTAACAAAATGAGTAAGGCATGGGTAGGAGAACAAGGAGTCAACTCTCTGTTTTATTTGCGTTGTTTTCAAGTGAAAAAAGTACCTGTATATATATATATATGTCTATTGTTTAAAAAGCTCTTGTAAAACTTCAATTGAACTAAGTATCTTCACCACTGGTTATGCAAACCTGGGTCCTGTCTGACATTATATAATAATTGTGACTGATTTATTGTAGAGAGACAGGGGTCCCATTCCACAATTTTATCACGTGGCAGGACCTAAGGGCGGCTACACTGACCCAGGAGTGGAACCAGTCCTATAAACTGGCAGTAAGCAATGGGGACAGTTTTGCTCCTTTTATTTTGAAATAGTTTGTCTTTCTTTATCAACACATTTAACTGTTTTATGATTAGATTACAGTTTGAGAGCCTGGTTGGCGTGTTTATATTTTAATATTTGTTATTAATTGAGAGATAAACTGTGAAACTGGGTACAGTTAAATGAAACAGTCATTTGTCAATGCATCCTTCTACAAAAACAAAGAGTCATATGCCCCTTCTGGAATTCAAGCTGGCTTCCCTCCCTGTATATCAATAATTTAATGATTATAATTATTTTGTTAGGATTTATTATTGCCTTCTGTCTTCTATAGATTACCTGGGGGTGAAGATTTTTCATTTCTTTGCATATACTGAAATAGATTTATTCGGTTAATAATTGAGACATTGAAACCCACATCTCATTAAATTTTAAAAACATGTGCTGTTTGATTTTATCATAACTGTCTCGCTGACTTCAGAGTGTAGTGAAGATAATTCGTTTCTGGCTCTCATAAATCAAATGGACTTGATTTTTGAAAAATACATCATTGGCTTTTGTAGAGAGTATTTAAATTTATGTCATTAGAAAACATATTGGGGGTGTGAGATCTCAACAATCAGATTGACTGTTTTTCTCACTACAAAATTTATTATTTATGTTCAAGTTTTCTTCTGTTGCTAGTATTATTATTATTATTATTATTATTATTATTTTTAGTAGTAGTAGTAGTATCATTATTATTTTCTTCTTCTTTCTCTTCTTCTTCTTATGTTATTATTATTATTATTATTTAATTATTTAATTTTATGTTATTTTCATTTATTTATTTATTTATTTTTATTATTTTTTTTTTTTTTGCTTCTTACCTATCATGCATTCCAGGCATTCAATGGTGGATCAAAGTTTTTGTTCACAGTTTCCAGGAATAGAAGGTATCTGGCAGCAAGTATCGTCAAGTTTCGAGCAAATTTTGTAAGTAAATTTGACAGATTATCACCCATTTATATACCATGTCACATCTGACAGTCACACCTAACACACTGTCACACCCAACACACTGTCAAACCTACCACACTGTCAACAGTCTTACAATGTATATTTATATTTATATGTATATCTATATTGTGCAATCTTTGAAAAAACAATTGCTAAGTAATGTTTATAGATTCTTGAATTACTAATATTTTCCACAAGCAGTATTTAATATGACAAAGTAGCAGTAAATTGTTTTGATAATGAGGTTATAATTTGGTATCCACAGGTGTCCATGAGACTGCTATGGATGTTACTGAACAACATGGAGGTAGGCCAAGTCAATGTGCTCATCAAGTCATTACTGATAACATGACTTGATATACTCACTTAGCTGCCTTGTCAATGTGTTGATAATTGTATGTAGATAGGTATGCTGATGATATGATTAAATATGGAAGTTAACCCAGATAAGTAGAATTGTTTACTGTTTGTATCTCAGATTAGAATTTTTGTCCATGATTTGAATGCAGCATTGTTAATAAAATAGCGCATCCAGAGCTATTTTCTGACAGTCTTCCAAATTATCTTTGTTGATCCATCCTCCAAATTTGATTGTCTTCTGACAGAAAAATTAGATACCCTTCATATATCAATGTAAACTTGAAAATCTGACCGTCTTTTGGAAGACCAAGAAGACGGCTTCAATCGGCCCCTGGACCGACTCACATGAATTTCGTCCAATCACATACTGAATACTGAGTTTTTTTTTTTGTCTGTTGATATATCAGATGCAGCGCCGAGCAGAGGAAGGTCAACTGATGTTCGGAACTATTGAAACCTGGTTGCTATGGAAGATGACTGGAGGGGAAGTGTTTGCCACAGACTACTCCAATGCCAGCTCCACTGGCTTGTATGATCCTTTCATAGTAAGTCTTTATTATTATTATTATTATTTTTCATTTTTCTTTTGTCTGAGAATCAGTGCCTTCCAGCTTCATCATTGTTTTATAATTTTTTTTTCATACTACTTTAATGCTTTTTGTGGTGTGTACATTTGGCAGCTTTGCTGCCTTGTTTTCATACTACTGTACTAGCCTTTCAAATTAGACATTCAACTTGCGTTGTTAAGTCTACAGAACAAACTGATTTTAGAAACATAATTATAATAATTATAATTATTATAAATAATTATAAGGTCATTATTGATTATTGAAATATATTTTATTTTAATCCTCTAGTTGGAATGGAGCACAGCTCTTTTCACATTGCTAGGCATTCCCATGTCCATTGTGCCAGAGGTCAAGGACACAAGGTAAGGTCAAGGTCATGTTCAGGTCAAGTGGGGCACAGTTTTTGGCTTTAGATAAGTAGAATTCAAAGTAGAAAAAAATTCTAATTAAGTTAAAATGAATTTTTTTAGTAATACCTCAGATTACCACAGCTAGTGCATGTTCAGAAATTGTATGAAAAGTTTCAAATTTCAATGTGTTCAGGAATTATTCTAATTGAAACATGTAGATATTATATTAAGACAGATGTACATGTAGCTTTTTTTTTTTTTTTTTTAAATATTTAATATATTTATTTCGCTTTGAAGGTTCTTCATTCTGAGGATAAAAGTGAATGGTGACAGTTGGTCCCGTATGTGATTTTTTTTTAAATGCTGTTTAAAAAAAAATGAAAGCAAAATTCATTCACGGAAAACCAAAAATAATGAGACTAAATATTATTGTACCACCAGCGTTAGCGCTGGCGGTACACATGGTTTCGGTCCCGTCCGGATCGTTCCGCCGGCTCCGCCGGCTCCGCCGGCTCCGCCGGCTCCGTTGGCTCCGCCGGACGGCTACCGTTACCGCTTCTCCTCCTAGACGGTAAGGGCCCCTGTACCCATCTCATGGATTTAGGTCACCTATAATCTCAACTCGTTCCACGTAAAATTTGGGCTTTGTCGGTATTGGGGTCTGGGTGTGGCACTCATTGCAATGCACCCTTGTCTAAAAATGGCAAAATTAAATGCTAATTATCTACCCTACGGAAGGANCATTGAGTGCGGGCTTTAAATTTGATTGGCGGGCGGCGGAGGCAATCGAATATGGTCAGAGGTAACTTGACACGATGAAGATAGGCTATAGTGAAGAGGTTAGTGTCAAGTTATCACTGAAGCTCAGGGTGACTATCTACCGGAAGTCTGCGAATTAAATATGTTTGACCCACTTAAATACTTGTTGTGTATTCTCCACTGGGAATCCATTCAGTGTGTGTGAGGGGATCAGATGGCAAGCTTTTAAGTGGGTCGCCTCATTTGATCCGCGGGCTAGCTAGTCCGTTATTGTGAATACAGCCTGTCTGAGATTGTTAAGCAATCCCCTTTTTTAATACACTAATTTGTTAGTAATATTGTGTGCGAAACTACAATGCAAGGTAGTCCTTGCAGTGTTTTTGTTTCTTTTTTCTTTTCATTTATAGTGATTTAGGAGTATGTCTTTTTCCCTGCAGAATATTTTTTAACTGCTGTATTGGCATTATATGTATATGTGTGAGTAACTAAATTTGTTACCTTACTCATATCAGTGGCATAGGAAGAGACTTCGGCACTAAGTTGTGTTGTTGTAGGTCTCTACCCTGTGATTGGCTGGAAAATCAAGGACGAAGTGGTCTACTTGGCGGAGGGGTGCGCTGGAGACACGGGCACCTGTGTGGAATGGGCGCAGTCAATAGGTAGGTGTACATTAAGATAAAAGGACACAATAAGAGTTGAGTTTATACGCAGACACAAGCTTTTTCCATGGAAAAGTGGAATCAAGCATGTTTTAATTTAATTCTGATGTATCAGTTTTAATTCAATTACCCAGAGGAAAAACATTGAGAAATGTCTGTCACTAATTAAAATTGTGCAGTTTCCAGGACACTGACTTTTCCTTAGTTATTCCTTCCATTTCAGGTCTATTTGAAGATGTCTCCAGCCTTGCCCAAATAGCACAGTCAGTGCAAGGTAGAGATACTGCAGTTGTTCTAAGCACACTAGTCCAGGGTTTTTTCACCTGGAAAAAAAAACCTCACAAGAATTTTTATTTCTAAATATTCTTCTTTAAACATAAGCAGATTGATATTATTCTTTCAAGTTTAGACTAAGCAGGTATCACTTTTGGAAACGACATGATTGAATTACTTTTTCGGAAATAAGGAATTATTTGTGTGTATTTTGTTGATGTTTCTTCCTTTTAGGTGTCTGTATATTTTCCCGCTTTGCTGTCTAGTTTATATTTCAACCTAAGACTAAGCAGTGTATTACCTGTAGGACATTCTGAAAGACCTTAAGTTGAAGTTTTGTATATTCTCTCTGTTGCAGACACAGGAGGAGTGTACTTTGTGCCTGCCTTCAATGGTCTACAGGTGAGAAGTGTAAACCACATGCTCGTTCGTTGCGACTTATCTGATGTGACTTTGTATACTGTATAAGGTTGATATGATAATTGTGAAATTGTCTTAGAAGTCTCCAGTTAATGAGGACTACACTTAGACTATCCCTTACTGGCCCCAACCAATTATGACTACAGTTAAAATATCCCTTACAGGCCCCAATCAATGATGAAGACAGTATAAGTATCCCTTACAGGCCCCAGTCCATGATGACGACAGTTTTATTATCCCTTACAGGCCCCAATCCATGTTGACTACAGTTTCAATATCCCTTACAGGCCCCAATCAATGATGACTATGCGTGTACATTAATGCTGGGGATGACCAGAAAGACAACCAAGGCCCATATGATAAGGGCGATACTGGAGTCTCTGGCCTTCAGGTTCAAACTGCTGTACGAAACTGCTCTCACAGAAACCAAGTTACCTTTTAATCTTATCAGGTAAGGAGAAATAAGATGCAAATGGGATATCACAATAAAAAAGAAGAAAAAAATTAATGCTGAAATTCAGTCTATTACCTGAGAATATCATAACCATTAACAAAAAATAGTGCGTGCAATGTTTTATTTTATTTTTAGTTTTAAATTTTATTTTTTGCCTTATTTCTTTATGTCATTATAAAGACAACAACCATGAGAACAATATGGTAAGCATGTCTAGAAAAATTCATTTCAGACAAAATTAAGCACCTTTTATCTCATAATGTAAATACCATACGGCCGTAATTTAGAGCACAAGAAAGCCTAATATTCCAAACCTATGCGACTATGAATGGTGTTGTGCACATAAGATAACACAGGAGAAAGATGATATATCTTTTGGTAGACTGTTCACCAAATAAATTTAGCCATTTTTAAATCAAAATGTATCTGCAGATCATCTTTCCCATGGTCCAAAATATATATAATTTGAATTGCAGAGCAGACGGAGGGGTCAGTAATAACGACTTTGTTCTCCAAGTAATGGCAGATATCATTAACCAAAAGATAGAGAGGCCAAGTCAGACAGACATGACATCCCTTGGGGCGGCGTACCTGGCGGGTTTGGCGGCAGGTGAGTGACTGTTGACCATATTACAGCAAGGCCCCCAGAGGTCAGGGGTGAATCCAGAGATATTTTCTGTCTTCCAAATTATTTTTGTTGATCCATCCTCCATTTTTGACCGTCTTCTAACAGAAAAAAAAAAAAAAACAATTATAAAAACCGTCAGTGTAAATTTGAAAATCTGACCAACTTCCAGAGGACCCAGAAGATAGCCTCAATCTGCCCCTGGAGATAGCTAGGGTGTTTTGGGGGAGGGGGAGTTCAAAAATGGGCTGTATCAATCGTCCGAAGGTTTACTGGTCCATAGGTTCGATAGTCTGAATTAGTGCGTGAATTAGGTGTATAGTGTACTGGCAATAAAGTGAATTTCAACAGAGGCACATGCATACCATGTATTTGACCAGTAAACCTTCCCACCAATGCTCCTTTGGATTAATGAGATGCCCAGATCAAAAGGACTGCCCTTTTTGTCAGAAATGGTACAATCAGAAGCAAAAAAAAATAAAGAAAAATTAATTTAAGATTCTGTTGCCTTTTCCTAAGTTGGGTGACATAAATAACTTACATTTTTCAGGAATAAGGATCTACTATATTAAAATTTGCTTGCAAGTGACTGATATCTGGACTCTTGATCCTTTTGATGCTGTCTGTTTGTTTTCCTACAATTTATTGACTTATTAATTTGTTTATTGCTCCAATTGATAGCAGCATTTGTTAATGCTTTAATGTCTTTACTTGGGTTCAGATTAGGTGAATTGGAAAGAAAAACTCACATTAACTGTCATCGTTCTATTGTTTGCAGGTGTTTGGAAAAATAAGGAAGAATTCAAGAAAGCAAGAAATGTTAACAGAGTTTTCACACCTCAAGGCACTTGGAATGTGTATAAAGATATTGTTTCTGAATGGGAAAGAGCTGTTAGGAGATCAGGACACTGGTACAGGTAGCAGTTCAACCATAGGTGGCAGCACCATGGATGATCCAGGACAACTATAGGTGGCAGCACCATATGGCTGGGCTCAGGACTATAACCAAATAAATGTTTTCTTGAGAAAAAAGTGATTATTTTGAAGGGAAGATTCTGGTTGTGTGTTAAACCTATGCAGCAATAGTTGATGCAAAAACAATTCTGATTATCATCCCAAGATGTGTATATCAGAACACTGTTTTGCAGATTTTATTATTATTATTTTTTTAATTTTATAAACAGGGTGTAACTGGTCATGCTTGAAAGCATTCAAGTTTCATACAGACTGTTTGTCTTACAGAATGCAAACACTGATATTAAGTCCCCTTTACCAGGCCCATAGTGAGGATTGCCTCCCAGAAAACACTGAACATCATCATAACGTTACCATAATGCTTTTTGGCTATGTTTTGTTATACTCTGTGTTTGCTGGGTTTCCTCTTGATATTGCTCCATCTATTCAATGGTTTAGCGCATTTCTGTTCTGTGAAATTTGCAAAAAAAAAAAAAAAAATTACATCATTGCCCAGCTTGTCTCTGGTAGATACAGTAAGTTTGTGCCAGCTTTGTGCTTATTTATTACCTCTGCCTAGGAGGTTATGTTTTCACCCCTGTTTGTTTGTCTGTCTTTCTGTCTGTCTGTCATCAACATAACTCAAAAAGTTATGGACCAATATTGATGAAATTTTCAGGAATTGTCAGAAGTGGGCCAAGGAACAGATGATAAGTTTTTGGTGGTGATTCAGATCAATAATCAATCAATAATCAATAATCAAAAATATCGAAAATTTAGGGGTGAAACCGCATTGGATGCAGACTTTGCTGCCTTGGCGGAGGTCTGCGCTCTCTGAGTGCTTTTCTAGTTTATTCATTCATTTATTTTTATTTATTTAAAAATTTAATTTTTTTAGTTTAATTTTAATTATTTAATTATTTGTTTATTTTTATTTTTTTATCTTTTGCTATCTTAAATATTGGTGCAAATTAATGAACATTGAGTTTAGTGAAAGTCATTATCTCAATCAGAATCATATATATTTTTACAAACAAGCAGAAAGTTATTTTCCTTTGGCAATGATACTGCAAAGTTAAATCATATCTCTTACCTGAATAAAGAGTGCTTCTGTTTAAAATTGATTGTGAAAGACTTTAATTTACAGGACTAGAAATTCAATTTGTGGCATTCAACTTCAAAGGGTACGAGTGTTTAAAGATAATATTTCAGATGATNTCAGGGTGGCATATGTGTACTTAATGTGTATTTTTATGTGTGTGTTTGTCTGGTAATATACATTTTTGTACATCTTTGCTTTGTAACAAAATGAGTAAGGCATGGGTAGGAGAACAAGGAGTCAACTTTCTGTTTTATTTGCATTGTTTTCAAGTGAAAAAAGTACCGATATATATATATATATATATATATATATATATATATATATATATATATATATATATATTGTTGAAAAAGCACTTGTAAAACTTCAATTGAACTAAGTATCTTCACCACTGGTCATGCAAACCTGGGTCCTGTCTGACATTATATAATAATTGTGACTGATTTATTGTAGAGAGACAGGGGTCCCATTCCACAATTTTATCACGTGGCAGGACCTGAGGGCGGCTACACTGACCCAGGAGTGGAACCAGTCATACAAACTGGCAGTAAGCAATGGGGACAGTTTTGCTCCTTTTATTTTGAAATAGTTTGTCTTTCTTTATCAACACATTTAACTGTTTTATGATTAGATTACAGTTTGAGAGCCTGGTTGGTGTGTTTATATTTTAATATTTGTTATTAATTGAGAGATAAACTGTGAAACTGGGTACAGTTAAATGAAACAGTCATTTGTCAATGCATCCTTCTACAAAAACAAAGAGTCATATGCCCCTTCTGGAATTCAAGCTGGCTTCCCTCCCTGTATATCAATAATTTAATGATTATAATTATTTTTTTAAGGATTTATTATTCCCTTCTGTCTTTTATAGATTACCTGGGGGTGAAGATTTTTCATCTCTTTGCATATACTGAAATAAATTTATTCAGTTAATAATTGAGACATTGAAACCCACATCTCATTAAATTTTAAAAACATGTGCTGTTTGATTTTATCATAACTGTCTCGCTGACTTCATAGTGTAGTGAAGATAATTCGTTTCTGGCTCTCATAAATCAAATGGACTTGATTTTTGAAAAATACATCATTGGCTTTTGTAAAGAGTATTTAAATTTATGTCATTAGAAAACATATTGGGGGTGTGAGATCTCAACAATCAGATTGACTGTTTTTCTCACTACAAAATTTATTATTTATGTTCAAGTTTTCTTCTGTTGCTAGTGTTATTATTATTATTATTATTATTATTATTATTATTATTATTATTATTATTAGTAGTAGTAGTAGTAGTAGTATCATTATTATTTTCTTCTTCTTCTTTCTCTTCTTCTTCTTATATTATTATTATTATTATTATTATTATTTAATTATTTGATTTTATGTTATTTTCATTTATTTATTTATTTATTTATTTTTTTTTCTTCTTACCTATCATGCATTCCAGGCATTCAATGGTGGATCAAAGTTTTTGTTCACAGTTTCCAGGAATAGAAGGTATCTGGCAGCAAGTATCGTCAAGTTTCGAGCAAATTTTGTAAGTAAATTTGACAGATTATCACCCATTTATATACCATGTCACATCTGACAGTCACACCTAACACACTGTCACATCTACCACACTGTCAACAGTCTTACAATGTATATTTATATTTATATGTATATTTATATTGTGCAATCTTTGAAAAAACAGTTGCTAAGTAATGTTTACATATTCTTGAATTACTAATATTTCCATAAACAGTATTTAATAACACAAAGTAGCAGTAAATTGTTTTGATAATGAGGTTATAATTTGGTATCCACAGGTGTCCATGAGACTGCTATGGATGTTACTGAACAACATGGAGGTAGGTCAAGTCAATGTGCTCATCAAGTCATTACTGATAACATGACTAGATATACTCACTTAGCTGCCTTGTCAATGTGTTGATAATTGTATGTAGATAGGTATGCTGATGATATGATTAAATATGGAAGTTAACCCAGATAAGTAGAATTGTTTACTGTTTGTATCGCAGATTAGAATTTTTGTCCATGATTTAAATGCAGCATTGTAAATAAAATAGCGCATCCAGAGCTATTTTCTGACAGTCTTCCAAATTATCTTTGTTGATCCATCCTCCAAATTTGATTGTCTTCTGACAGAAAAATTAGATACCCTTCATATATCAATGTAAACTTGAAAATCTGACCGTCTTTTGGAAGACCAAGAAGACGGCTTCAATCGGCCCCTGGACCGACTCACATGAATTTCGTCCAATCACATACTGAATACTGAGTTTTTTTTTGTTTTTTTTGTCTGTTGATATATCAGATGCAGCGCCGAGCAGAGGAAGGTCAACTGATGTTCGGAACCATTGAAACCTGGTTGCTATGGAAGATGACTGGAGGGGAAGTGTTTGCCACAGACTACTCCAATGCCAGCTCCACTGGCTTGTATGATCCTTTCATAGTAAGTTCTTATTATTATTATTATTATTTTTTTTCATTTTTCTTTTGCCTGAGTATCAGTGCCTTCCAGCTTCATCATTGTTTTATTTTTTTTTTCATACTACTTTAATGCTTTTTGTGGTGTGTACATTTGGCAGCTTTGCTGCCTTGTTTTCATACTACTGTACTAGCCTTTCAAATTAGACATTCAACTTGCGTTGTTAAGTCTACAGAACAAACTGATTTTAGAAACATAATTATGATAATTGTAATTATTATAAATAATTATAAGGTCATTATTGATTATTAAAATAATATATTTTATTTTAATCCTCTAGTTGGAATGGAGCACAGCTCTTTTCACATTGTTAGGCATTCCCATGTCCATTGTGCCAGAGGTCAAGGACACAAGGTAAGGTCAAGGTCATGTTGAGGTCAAGTGGGGCACAGTTTTTGGCTTTAGATAAGTAGAATTCAAAGTAGAAAAAAATACTAATTAAGTTAAAATGAATTTTTTTAGTAATACCTCAGATTACCACAGCTAGTGCATGTTCAGAAATTGTTTGAAAAGTTTCAAATTTCAATGTGTTCAGGAATTATTCTAATTGAAACATGTAGATATTATATTGAGACAGATGTACATGTAGCTTTTTTGTTTTGTTTTTTTTAATATTTAATATATTTATTTCGCTTTGAAGGTTCTTCATTCTGAGTATAAAAGTGAATGGTGACAGTTGGTCCAGTATGTGATTTTTTTTAAACGCTGTTTAAAAAAAATGAAAGCAAAATTCATTCACGGAAAACCAAAAATAATGAGACTAAATATTATTTTTGATTGCATTTTATCATATAATTTGGTTTTCATTTTAGTTATCACTTTGGTGACAGTCTTCCTGAAGTATTTGGGGCCTCCATTCCAATTACAAGTTTGGTAGGTACAGCACGTGGTCGGCTTCACTCAACAGAACATGTAATTGTCCTATAGAATGCTTTTTGTCACATAGGAAATGTTGTTATAAACAGGCTGTATGTATTTTACATGATCTAGGTTTTATGTATTGTACCTAGGCACAGTAATTGTAACCAGCCACAATCTAAATTGACAAATAATGAAAATAAATACACTGGAGAAGAAAGAAAAATAAGATTATTTTAGTATTCAAAAATATCAGAAAAGTTAGTTGTATTAGAAGATGTTGTTCAGCATATTGTTAAGTTTGTTATCAGTATTAGTGATACTGACATTGATGCGTGAAATAGTGTATAAATTCATTATTATTATTTTTATTTTTATAGGATCTGATGAGTTCATTTATAATATAATTATTTTGAAAAACAAGGTAATTTTGCACAATTCTGTTTGGCAGGTAGCAGATCAGCAGAGCGCCATGTTTGCTGAGTGTTGTTATGACGTTGGAGATGTGAAGGTTACACTGGGAACCAGTCTTTTCTTTAACCTAAATACAGGGAATAAGCCTCACGCTTCAGTAGCAGGTGCTTGTAGTTTATATACTATAATAATTTTAATATCTTGAAATCGGTCAGATAACCTGAACGTGGGGAATAAACCACACGCTTCAGTAGCAGGTGCTTGTAGTTTATTTACTAGAGTAATATAAATGTCTTGAAATCAGTCTTTTCTTTAACCTGAATGCAAGAAATATTTAACTGACAAGCTTCAGATGCAGGTGAAGTAGACAAAATGTATATGTATAATGTATATATGCTTCTGGAACCGGCATTTCTTTTGCCTTTACACATATAAGCCACATATGCTTGAGTTGTAGATATGACAATATTAGAGACTAAGAGAAAAACATTTTTATGTGGCATGAATATGGAGGAAATCACATAATTATCCCAATATACTTCTGCTAAGAAGATATATGGATGTATATATGACAATAGGGGGTCATTGAGTAATAATGCTCTCAATGGAAAAATCCCATCTTTGGCCGCAATCAAAACAGTCAACTAACTAATTTTCATTTATGAGCCAACTATCTACCGGCAGTCTGCGAATTAAATATGTTTGACCCACTTAAATACTTGTTGTGTATTCTCCACTGGGAATCCATTCAGTGTGTGTGAGGGGATCAGATGGCAAGCTTTTAAGTGGGTCGCCTCATTTGATCCGCGGGCTAGCTAGTCCGTTATTGTGAATACAGCCTGTCTGAGATTGTTAAGCAATCCCCTTTTTTAATACACTAATTTGTTAGTAATATTGTGTGCGAAACTACAATGCAAGGTAGTCCTTGCAGTGTTTTTGTTTCTTTTTTCTTTTCATTTATAGTGATTTAGGAGTATGTCTTTTTCCCTGCAGATTATTTTTTAACTGCTGTATTGGCATTATACTGTATGTATATGTGTAAGTAACTAAATTTGTTACCGTACTCATATCAATGGCATAGGAAGAGACTTCGGCACTAAGTTGTGTTGTTGTAGGTCTCTACCCTGTGATTGGCTGGAAAATCAAGGACGAAGTGGTCTACTTGGCGGAGGGGTGCGCTGGAGACACGGGCACCTGTGTGGAATGGGCGCAGTCAATAGGTACGTGCACATTAAGATAAAAGCACCCAATGAGAGTTGAGTTTATACGCAGACACAAGCTTTTTCCATGGAAAAGTGGAATCAAGCATGTTTTAATTTAATTCTGATGTATCAGTTTTAATTCAATTACCCAGAGGAAAAACATTGAGAAATGTCTGTCACTAATTAAAATTGTGCAGTTTCCAGGACACTGACTTTTCCTTAATTATTCCTTCCATTTCAGGTCTATTTGAAGATGTCTCCAGCCTTGCCCAAATAGCACAGTCAGTGCAAGGTAGAGATACTGCAGTTGTTCTAAGCACACTAGTCCAGGGTTTTTTCACCTGGAAAAGAAAAACCTCACAAGAATTTTTATTTCTAAATATTCTTCCTTAAACATAAGCAGATTGATATTATTCTTTCAAGTTTAAACTAAGCAGGTATCACTTTTGGAAACGACATGATTGAATTACTTTTTCGGAAATAAGGAATTATTTGTGTGTATTTTGTTGATGTTTCTTCCTTTTTGGTGTCTATATATTTTCCCACTTTGCTGTCTAGTTTATATTTCAACCTAAGACTAAGCAGTGTATTACCTGTAGGACATTCTGAGAGACCTTAAGCAGAAGTTTTGTATATTCTCTCTGTTGCAGACACAGGAGGAGTGTACTTTGTGCCTGCCTTCAATGGTCTACAGGTGAGGAGTGTGTTTAAAAGGTGTAAACCACATGTTCATTAGTTATGACTAATCTGATGTGACTTTGCATATAAGGTTGATATGATGATTATGAAATTGTGTCAGAAGTCTCCAGTTAATGAGGACTACACTTAGACTATCCCTTACTGGCCCCAACCAATGATGACTACAGTTAAAATATCCCTTACAGGCCCCAATCAATGATGAAGACAGTATAAGTATCCCTTACAGGCCCCAGTCCATGATGACGACAGTTTTATTATCCCTTACAGGCCCCAATCCATGTTGACTACAGTTTTAATATCCCTTACAGGCCCCAATCAATGATGACTATGCGTGTACATTAATGCTGGGGATGACCAGAAAGACGACCAAGGCCCATATGATACGGGCGATACTGGAGTCTCTGGCCTTCAGGTTCAAACTGCTGTACGAAACTGCTCTCACAGAAACCAAGTTACCTTTTAATCTTATCAGGTAGGGAGAAATAAGATGCAAATGGGATATTACAATAAAAAAGAAGAAAAAAATTAATGCTGAATTTCAGTCTATTACCTGAGAAGATCATAACCATTAACAAAAACAGTGCATGCAATGTTTTATTTTATTTTTAGTTTTAAATTTTATTTTGTGCCTTATTTCTTTATGTCATTATAAAGACAACAACCATGAGAACAATATGGTAAGCATGTCTAGAAAAATTCATTTCAGACAAAATTAAGCACCTTTTATCTCATAATGTAAATACCATAATTTAGAGCACAAGAAAGCCTTATATTCCAAAACTATGCGACTATGAATGGTTGTGCACATAAGATAACACAGGAGAAAGATGATATATCTTTTGGTAGACTGTTCACCAAATAAATTTAGCCATTTTTAAATCAAAATGTATCTGCAGATCATCTTTCCCGTGGTCCAAAATATATATATAATTTGAATTGCAGAGCAGACGGAGGGGTCAGTAATAACGATTTTGTTCTCCAAGTAATGGCAGATATCATTAACCAAAAGATAGAGAGGCCAAGTCAGACGGACATGACATCCCTTGGGGCGGCATACCTGGCAGGTTTGGCAGCAGGTGAGTGACTGTGGACCATATTACAGCAAGGCCCCCAGAGGTCAGGGGTGGATCTAGAGATATTTTCTGACTGTCTTCCAAATTATTTTTGTTGATCCATCCTCCATTTTTGACATGTTCTAACAGAAAAAAAAAACAATTATAAAAACCGTCAGTGTAAATTTGAAAATCTGACCAACTTCCAGAGGACCCAGAAGATAGCCTCAATCTGCCCCTGGAGATAGCTAGGGTGTTTGGGGGGAGGGGGAGTTCAAAAATGGGCTTTATCAATTGTCCGAAGGTTTACTGGTCCATAGGTTTGATAGTCCGAATTAGTGCATGAATTAGGTGTATAGTGTACTGGCAATAAAGTGAATTTCAACAGAGGCACATGCATACAATGTATTTGACCAGTAAACCTTCCCACCAATGCTCCTGTGGATTAATGAGATGCCCAGATCAAAAAGACTGCCCTTTTTGTCAGAAATGGTACAATCAGAAGCAAAAAAAAATAAAGAAAAATTAATTTAAGATTCCTGTTGCCTTTTCCTAAGTTGGGTGACATAAATAACTTACATTTTTCAGGAATAAGGATCTACTATATTGAAATTTGCTTGCAGGTGACTGATATCTGGACTCTTGATCCTTTTGATGCTGTCTGTTTGTTTTCCTACAATTTATTGACTTATTAATTTGTTTATTGCTCCAATTGATAGCAGCATTTGTTAATGCTTTAATGTCTTTACTTGGATTCAGATTAGGTGAATTGGAAAGAAAAACTCACATTAACTGTCATCGTTCTATTATTTGCAGGTGTTTGGAAAAATAAGGAAGAATTCAAGAAAGCAAGAAATGTAAACAGAGTTTTCACACCTCAAGGCACTTGGAATGTGTATAAAGATATTGTTTCTGAATGGGAAAGAGCTGTTAGGAGATCAGGACACTGGTACAGGTAGTAGTTCAACCATAGGTGGCAGCACATGGATGACCCAGGACAACTATAGGTGGCAGCACCATGGCTGGGCTCAGGACAATAACCAAATAAATGTACTCTTTCTTGAGAAAAAAGTCCTCATTTTGAAGGGAAGATTCTGGTTGTGTGTTAAACCTATGCAGCAATAGTTGATGCAAAAACAATTCTGATTATCATCCCAAGATGTGTATATCAGAACACTGTTTTGCAGTTTTTATTATTATTATTTTTTTAATTTTATAAACAGGGTGTAACTGGTCATGCTTGAAAGCATTCAAGTTTCATACAGATTGTTTGTCTTACAGAATGCAAACACTGATATTAAGTCCCCTTTACCAGGCCCGCAGTGAGGATTGCCTCCCAGAAAACACGGAACATCATCATGACGTTACCATAATGCTTTTTGGCTATGTTTTGTTATACTCTGTGTTTGCTGGGTTTCCTCTTGATATTGCTCCATCTATTCAATGGTTTAGCGCATTTCTGTTCTGTGAAATTTGCAAAAAAAAAAAAAAAAATTACATCATTGCCCAGCTTGTCTCTGGTAGATACAGTAAGTTTGTGCCAGCTTTGTGCTTATTTATTACCTCTGCCTAGGAGGTTATGTTTTCACCCCTGTTTGTTTGTCTGTCTTTCTGTCTGTCTGTCATCAACATAACTCAAAAAGTTATGGACCAATATTGATGAAATTTTCAGGAATTGTCAGAAGTGGGCCAAGGAACAGATGATAAGTTTTTGGTGGTGATTCGGATCAATAATCAATCAATAATCAATAATCAAAAATATCGAAAATTTAGGGGTGAAACCGCATTGGATGCAGACTTTGCTGCCTTGGCGGAGGTCTGCGCTCTCTGAGTGCTTTTCTAGTTTATTCATTTATTTATTTTTATTTATTTAATAATTTAATTTTTTTAGTTTAATTTTAATTATTTAATTATTTGTTTATTTTTATTTATTTATCTTTTGCTATCTTAAATATTGGTGCAAATTAATGAACACTGAGTTTAGTGAACTTCATTATCTCAATCAGAATCATATATATTTTTACAAACAAGCAGAAAGTTATTTTCCTTTGGCAATGATACTGCAAAGTTAAATCATATCTCTTACCTGAATAAAGAGTGCTCCTGTTTAAAATTGATTGTGAAAGACTTTAATTTACAGGACTAGAAATTCAATTTGTGGCATTCAACTTCAAAGGGTGCAAGTGTTTAAAGATAATTTTTCAAATAATTTGTTGAATAAGTTAAATACAATCTAGTTAGAAAGTATTTAGGAGCATTCTAGTACACCAAACATATACTGACAGTCAATGAAAACGCACCATTTAATTATCAAATAATATTTTAAGTTCCATTGGCACATTAAGAAAATAACAGTTTTCATGTGAAATATGACCTTAATTTATGACCAAACAAGTGCATTTGTACTCGTTTATATGGTCGGAATCGATTCTCGGTAAAAAAAAAAGTACAAGAAAGTTTTCTAATGCATTTTCATTGACTGTCAGTATGTTTTGTGTTCATGTGCCAGTATATTAATCCCGGTTTTGCATCTATCTAGATGAATATTAAAAAAATACCACAAACTGGAAATTTATTGCAAAATAGGAACTGTTCCATCACTTCAACCAAATCGATTCCTTTTGTTTTTTTTCGCGATCGACTCATTCAGCCATTCGGCGAACTCATCATACAATGAAGAAGAAGAGCAGTTTCATATGTCTTATTCCCCTCCCCCATTCCCCAAGGGGGGGGGGCAAGACTTACCTGAGCCAATGACTTACACAAAGCAAATCCGGATTCCCCAAAAATGTCTTCATAGCAAGTTTAAAGGGAGGTGCAGAATTTGGATAAAAATTTTAAAACGCCTCTCTCTCCCCGTCTCTTCACAGTCAATAGTCGCCATATGCCATTGCCCGCATGTGAATAAAACATAACATTATATGATTTTATCATCATCATCTTCTAGGCCACCATCAAAGATCTTCCACTGTTCTCTGTCACCAGCTAGGTGTTGAATGGCCCCCCAGCTCTCTCCCATTGGTTTCAACTCTGCTTCGTCAGCCCTCCATATGGTCTTTAGGTCTGCCTCTTTTTCTGTGTCCCACGGGTGCCCAGTACATAGCTACTTTTGTGGTGGATAATATTATTTAAGGTACATTTATTATAATGAGCAAATATGTTCATAAACTTGCCAGTTGGATCATAAATGAAAATTGTCAAACACAAACCGAACAATTATCATACCGTTAGCATACGGCCGCTCTACCATCTAGCGGTCAGTGATTAACAGCAGTTACCCTCACCAGTCAGAGGAAGGCCTATGTCCAGGTTGATCGTAAGCTAATGGTATGAAAGTTTTTGACCTTGCGTTTGATAATTTTCATTTATGACTATTATATTATTCAACGGTTTCCGCAGGTGCTCAAGATCCATGGCTTGCAACCGACGTGTACGCCTTCAGAACTCTACTCATACAAAACGGTGTTTGGTCACGTATCGCCTGTTTAAGTATTGACAGCGGGGTCGGCCATTTAAAAAATAATTTATTTATTTATTTATTTATTTATTTATGTATTGCTCCGGTTCATGTCTCCAGATCCGTGGTGAAAACTTATCTTAAAGGCCTGCATAATAATTCAAAGATTTATGAAATGTGGTAAATCGAAATTGAAAATGCGACATAGTAGCTGTATTGGAAGTCGTGTGCTTGCCACAAAAACTATATAGATCGGTGGTGTTTGAGAAGTTAGGGAAGACGTCGTTAGGGATGCACAGCAATATGAAGATCTCGTTACAGCGTTTGGGTCGTCGTTTGCGATTAAACAATAAACAGATATGGGTTTCATTTGGAGTTATTTTAATCCTTTTTATTTTGGATAAAGGAGCACAGAAATATTATATTCCAAGGAAACAAACAAGACAGTGCAACGCAGAGAGCTGTGAACAGAAATATGTTTATAATTATGTCCTGGCAGGTATAACCAATGAAGGCAATGGAACGCGGGTTTTAAGAAACGCCATCAGCACCTCTTACTTGAACAGCTTCCCAAACAGTTTATTAAACGGAAAGTTTGACGATNTTTGTTGAATAAGTTAAATACAATCTAGTTAGAAAGTATTTAGGAGCATTCTAGTACACCAAACATATACTGACAGTCAATGAAAACGCACCATTTAATTATCAAATAATATTTTAAGTTCCATTGGCACATTAAGAAAATAACAGTTTTCATGTGAAATATGACCTTAATTTATGACCAAACAAGTGCATTTGTACTCGTTTATATGGTCGGAATCGATTCTCGGTAAAAAAAAAAGTACAAGAAAGTTTTCTAATGCATTTTCATTGACTGTCAGTATGTTTTGTGTTCATGTGCCAGTATATTAATCCCGGTTTTGCATCTATCTAGATGAATATTAAAAAAATACCACAAACTGGAAATTTATTGCAAAATAGGAACTGTTCCATCACTTCAACCAAATCGATTCCTATCCTTTTGTTTTTTTTCGCGATCGACTCATTCAGCCATTCGGCGAACTCATCATACAATGAAGAAGAAGAGCAGTTTCATATGTCTTATTCCCCTCCCCCATTCCCCAAGGGGGGGGGGGCAAGACTTACCTGAGCCAATGACTTACACAAAGCAAATCCGGATTCCCCAAAAATGTCTTCATAGCAAGTTTAAAGGGAGGTGCAGAATTTGGATAAAAATTTTAAAACGCCTCTCTCTCCCCGTCTCTTCACAGTCAATAGTCGCCATATGCCATTGCCCGCATGTGAATAAAACATAACATTATATGATTTTATCATCATCATCTTCTAGGCCACCATCAAAGATCTTCCACTGTTCTCTGTCACCAGCTAGGTGTTGAATGGCCCCCCAGCTCTCTCCCACTTGTTTCAACTCTGCTTCGTCAGCCCTCCATATGGTCTTTAGGTCTGCCTCTTTTTCTGTGTCCCACGGGTGCCCAGTACATAGCTACTTTTGTGGTGGATAATATTATTTAAGGTACATTTATTATAATGAGCAAATATGTTCATAAACTTGCCAGTTGGATCATAAATGAAAATTGTCAAACACAAACCGAACAATTATCATACCGTTAGCATACGGCCGCTCTACCATCTAGCGGTCAGTGATTAACAGCAGTTACCCTCACCAGTCAGAGGAAGGCCTATGTCCAGGTTGATCGTAAGCTAATGGTATGAAAGTTTTTGACCTTGCGTTTGATAATTTTCATTTATGACTATTATATTATTCAACGGTTTCCGCAGGTGCTCAAGATCCATGGCTTGCAACCGACGTGTACGCCTTCAGAACTCTACTCATACAAAACGGTGTTTGGTCACGTATCGCCTGTTTAAGTATTGACAGCGGGGTCGGCCATTTAAAAAATAATTTATTTATTTATTTATTTATTTATTTATGTATTGCTCCGGTTCATGTCTCCAGATCCGTGGTGAAAACTTATCTTAAAGGCCTGCATAATAATTCAAAGATTTATGAAATGTGGTAAATCGAAATTGAAAATGCGACATAGTAGCTGTATTGGAAGTCGTGTGCTTGCCACAAAAACTATATAGATCGGTGGTGTTTGAGAAGTTAGGGAAGACGTCGTTAGGGATGCACAGCAATATGAAGATCTCGTTACAGCGTTTGGGTCGTCGTTTGCGATTAAACAATAAACAGATATGGGTTTCATTTGGAGTTATTTTAATCCTTTTTATTTTGGATAAAGGAGCACAGAAATATTATATTCCAAGGAAACAAACAAGACAGTGCAACGCAGAGAGCTGTGAACAGAAATATGTTTATAATTATGTCCTGGCAGGTATAACCAATGAAGGCAATGGAACGCGGGTTTTAAGAAACGCCATCAGCACCTCTTACTTGAACAGCTTCCCAAACAGTTTATTAAACGGAAAGTTTGACGATGAACTCAACGTGAAAGCCTATTTCATGTCGGTGGCGGTAACGGATAACATTAAACGATCGAAAAGCAGTAAGGAACAAACGGGATATTTGAATGCCGTTATGCGAATCAATTTGAAAAATTACACGTCGACAGGAACGCTCCAAAAAAGTTTCTTACTGAAAGTGGCAGTCAGTGGCACCTATGACACCATAGACACCGGACATATACTCGGCATTCCAGCAGTAATGTATGAAAGGTTTGGGGGTCCAGAGGATGTGAGAATGTTTGTAGTTGGTGGCGACAATGTTATAATATATTCAAGGCATGTTGAAGGAGGCCTCTCCAGATTATATTTATACAATATTGATACATACGAGGGACCGAAGCGAATACAAGTTAAGAACATGACTCTTCAAAAATGGGAAAAAAACTGGGTGCCAATTACGTTATCGACTTCTCGAATTCAAAGTGAAAGCACCTACAAAGCCAAAGAGAAGACATTTTATCTCGTTTATTCACTGTCTCCCGTCGTTTTGCTCAAATGCGACGTACGCACTGCCGAGTGTGTCGAGCATTTGGCTGAAGGCGACCCAGGA